GGGGGAGGCGAGGGAGGTGAAAGTGGAGCGAGCGATTAGGGTGCGGGGGCGTTGAGGGATTGAGGGTGCTTGGGAGTGGGAGCCAAGGAGGAAGAACTTGGAGGGGAGGGAGGAAGGGGAGAAGAAGGTGGCGATGGAGTTGCCAGTGGTGAGCAGGTGACGGAGTTCTTCGAGAGGGTCACGGAGTCCTTCCTGAGTAAATTAAAAGTTTCAGAGCCTTTATTTGTAAATTGCATGGTTTGAAGACCTCTATATGTAAAAGACCCAATTGAAAAAAGTGAACAAAGCCAATGTCGTAATGTCGTGGAAACAATAGTGTGCGTCTAGACCAGCAAGCAGATAGGGGCAAGGCAAAAAAGCATAAAGACCCAATGGGTAGAATGGTAAGAAAAATCAGTAACAAGAAATAGTAGTCCAGCTACCTTTTTCCAATTCTTACTGCTTTAATTGTTGAATTGAATCAAATTAATATTAACCAAGCATGTCTAAGCTAATATGTATAGGCATAATTACTATAATTCATACAGATTAAGCTACAAATAATCACAAATTTTTCATGCCAATATATAAGGTTATTTTGATATCCAACACATTCTCATCATCAATAAAGCTCTAAAAACAAGCTCTAAACGTAAGAAGGGGAAGAAAAGAGAGGAGAATTCAGGGTATTGAATGTGTGTTCACAAAATAAAGTCAAATCAAATGCATTAAGAATTAGAGTAATACCAATAATTTATGATATTTCTAGTTTACAAGTCTTAGTCTCAATGTATGAAAACATTATATGGCCCGGCCTTTCTTGCAATTAATTTCTTAAAATTTCTCGTAAAAAAACTTTCTCGAATTAGACATGTCATCATACTATCATTTGGTTAGAATTACACATATATCATGTTCGCATCATAAATAAACTTATATTCATCATAGTTAATTGTTAGTGTTAAGCAACTTCAATAGAACTTTCATCAAAAAATTGAACAAGATCTATGGGTTTTTTATCTAATTTTTTTTTAATAATTTGAAACGAACTAAATCCCATTAACCTATTAAAAAATGCATTTCTATACAAACTCGACCATAGATAGTACCCAAATATGTATTTTTTTAATCATCAGTGTAAAAAATTACATATACTCTTATTATAGAGTTTTATATATGTAACCCTCATATATTTTATCTCTCTGTCAAATATAATCATTTTAGGAGATTTATAAAATTTAATCATTTCAGTAAATTAGAATTTAGTTGTGTCAGATGTATAAACAATTTCGAACGATAGAATAAAAGAGTAGTTTTTAAAAGTTATCAAACAGCACAAAAATACAAAATTTTCATCCTTCATGTTTGTGGCAATCCTATAAATAAAGCTCCATGGACCATGCTCACATCCTCCCAAAGTGTACGTGGAATAGATAAAAATGCATATAGCCTAAAATTACATTTATTTCCTTAATCCATTGAGTATGTTTCGAATTGTGACAATAAATGCACAACATATCAAGTTAAACTAGACCAATAATACATATCCCCACTCATGACTACAATCATATCTTAACGAAAATGCCTTGCAACACTACCATATGGAATTCTAAGAAAATTAAGTCTCATAAAGATGAATCAGGGATACAAACTTGGTTTCCTTTGAAAAAAAAACTTTTCTTAATCATGAAATCCTTATTAAACACAAGAAAACACAAATTAAATTGAGATAAATCTTATTAAAGTCCTTATAATTGATGTAATCCTTTTTAATATTATCAATAACTACTTTTTGTTGCCACCCCAAAAATTCATGAAGATGGGATTTATTATGATGTAAGTGGAGGTTCGAAATCAAAGACCTTGGCAATAACTTCTGGGACCCTTACAAACTGAACTAACTGGCACCCACAAATCAAACTTGATAGCTTAATTTACATGATGTGAAAAATGATGGATATAACTTTTAATGCATTAGTGGATTTGCTATCAATTCTAGTATATTATGACTGTATTTTAACATTACAGTGTACTCCTATAAAATTTAAAGCCATTTATTATGCATATGTCCTAACTTCTTTTGATAAGTTAAATATTTTAAAGCTCGATAATCTGATATAGAACAAACTCCTTGAGCAAGAAAAACTATTTCTACTACTAAAGTGATTGTTAAATGGTATAGAATCTTCAACTAAAATTACAGTATTTCTACTTAGAACCATTTTACTTCTCAGTAAAATAAATAAGTAGGTGTCCATCTTGACTCAATAGTAGATGTATAAAAAGAAGCATAAAAAAAACTTCAATAAAAGCAGTAAATTTAAATGCAAAAGTATTAGTCTCCCTTTTATGCCGTTGAAGGCGCACTCAGAAGATTTCATCGATTTGAATTCTCCCCATTTAGGAAGATTAGTAATTAATGTTGTGACTATGTTAAATGTTTTTATAAAATTCCAATAGAAGGTAATCAAACCACATCAATTTTAAATGGTATAAACATTTGTAGGCGTTAAACAATCTCTAATTTCTTTACATTGTCCAGACAAGCAAATAGTCTGTCACTGGATACAAAGCTAGAGATAAAATAAATGGAAGAATAAAAATGGTAATTCATATAACTTTTTAGAGGGCCAATTTTATTAATGCGTAGCTTTTTAAACTGCCACCACAACTGTATTTGGCTATTGCTTTTTAAATAATTTTTTTGGTAATTGGATGCTATTTTCTAAAATTTGATATGCTATAATACGGTAACAATAAAAAGTAGTTGTGACATTTTCAGACAAAATATTATGATATCCACATCAATTTTCAAAAAATTTACTTTTCCCACCTCAACTATACAATACCTTTACAAAAAATCGTCGTCATCTCAAAAGGATCCGAAATATTTCTCAAGTGATTTATTTTAAATATAAATTTCATCAAGGAATACAATCATTTTTTTTATAAAGGGATGCATTACATGATTCTCATAAAATATCTTAAGAAATTAATCTAAAAGGAATCACTAATCATCCTTCCAAACTATGACTTATTAAAAGCAGTATTCTATTCATCTCTGCTCAACATCACTTGATTGCAACCATTCCTTAGATAAATCTTTGAGAAATTAAAATATATACAATCATATCTAGCATCATATATAGTCTTGGTATAGAAAAATGAAAGTTAATTTGATTTTATCAATTGCTTAATTATCCACATGCTTTCTCCAACTCACATCCTTCTTAGGTTTGAGAAAGATAGGTATCACACAAAGACTAATGCAGTGCCTAATAAATCTTTTCCGCAATAGCTCATCTACCTATGTTTTTAGTTATGCGTGTTTAGTAAGATTCGTCCTATAATAGGGTAAATTAAATGACAAGGAAACAATGATCAAATTAATCATGTTTTGGCGATCTCTAAATTTATCAAATAATTGGTCATGATGATTCATTAAAATTCATGTAGTAACTGACTAACATCCACAAGTATTAATATGCTATCGATCATATCTCATTTCAAATTAACATCTAATAAAGCATAAATTATTGCCTCAAGTATATTTTTTTTTTCAAAAGCAATTCTAGTTTAAAATATGTGAATTTAGGGTTTTGAAATGATCCTCCAACCATTGTCCTTAAATTCATAAGTACTAGACTTCCCAAAATGAGTCAAATCCCAATGTTACAATCAAGGTTAGCTAAAAATGAGTTTCAACATCCATTACTAAGAGACCACACCATATATTATCAATATAAATAGCAAGTTGAATAGGGCTTAGCGCCTATAGGTTATGAAAATTGAAATTTAACTACCCAAGCAAATTTGTAAGTTTGTAGGTATCATTCAGCAATTGATTTCATGCATTCAAAAGTAGATTGGCAACAATATTCATACAAATCCCACTATCGATGATAAGCTGACAGTGTTTCTAACTATGTATAAAAAATTAAAATTCTTTTCCAATAAAGTTCAACCTGAGGTGTGGTGATGATGCATCGCATGACATTCAAAAATTTCTCAAGCGAGGCACCATCAAAATCATTTATTTCCTTGTTGAATTCATGCATCATACCCTTAGCCATTCTCATTATCTTCTTCTTTAATATTAATTTTGTAAGCCACCACTCACTTGACATGTGACTGACTTGAAGACATCTAAAACAAGCAATAATCTTGGATCTTGATGTCATAGGAATTGTCTTGCATTTTGATTCTTTTTTAACATTTACATTATTACCTTTGGAGTTTAGACTCCATCATTTAAATTTATTTTTTTTGGTGAAAAGAAGAATTCCAGTCCAATGAAGCAGCTCCTTTGGACCAAGAAATTTTTGTAGAAGTTTGAAATTTAAGGTAGACTGAAAATCAACCTCAAGCAAATTAATGTTATGTAGAGCCATCTCTTTTTAATGTCATGTCTAACAACTTTTTGGACGCTTCCTACTATCAGAATGTGCTACTAATCCTTAAACTTAGTCCATAAATTCTGTCACAACCTTTTTGCCACGCTTCAATAACTTTTATTCATAAATTATTTTATCCTGGTAGGATACGGGTAGGTATACTTTTAATAATAGTTTCACCTCAGCCCACATAGTAGAATATTCTAACCCCAGCCTTTCTCTCTGACTATCAGCAGATGTCCAATATATTTTTATTTGTCCAGTAAGTATTAGTTTTGCAAACCTTATTTGTCATCTCCGACATCATTTTTTAATTGAAGATATTATCAATATTCCAAATGTAGTCAAGAAATGCCTTTGGATATGTTCCTCAATCAAAGGTAGAAACGTCGACTAAAACATTTCTGATTATAACTTCATCAATATAATAAGATTGTTGCCTATGATCATATAACTTTCATTATTGTATTCCCTATGATGTCAATTTTAGTTGTTTCTTTTATGATGAGCCGCTTTTCTCATTAAAACTAGATTCATTTTTTGGTTCCAGGGAGTGTAGTTGATTAGTTTCTATCATATCAAGTTGCTCGTTAATTTGAATTAAAACAATGTTAAGTTTATCATGTTTTATTAATAATTCTTTAGTTTGCTTTGCACAATAATTAAGGTACCATCATTATAATGACCTATTAACTGACCCTAAAAACATGACCCACATCTAAGTGGCATGTTGACATCAATTTGGGCTCTAATATCGATTTGATTTCAGAAGTTTATGGGTCTTTGGTTAGTACAACAACCTAGGATGAGAGGCACGATCAAAACATATAAAAACCACAAGATGCCGATTAACAACCCTTGAATCAATTAACTTTAATGTAGAAGCAACAATCACACTTCATTCCTAATGATAATTTATAGTCTCCAAAATCTAAAAAATCACAGGAAAAATAATGAGCAGATATAGAATTTAAGCATTGCTCAAATTTACTATATGAAAAGGAAGTTAAGAAAATTTCACATTTTGATAAATTCTAATCACACATATTAAACCAAAAACTAAGAGGCCATTTGGGATCACTTTTGATTTTTTTTTATTTTGTTTTATTTATGTTTTGATATAAAACAAACCATGTTTGGTATGGTATAACAAGTTTAGTTGTTTTTAAAAACACTCAAAATAACTTTTAGATATTTTGAGTGTTTCTTTTTAAGAAAAAAAAGCTAATTTATTTTCTTAAAAATAAAAACATGCAAAAAATCGCTAAACAAACAATTTTTAAAATAAAAGCAAAAAAACAAAAGTGATAACAAACAAGCCCAAAATAAGTAAAATAGGAACAACTATAGCAATCACCCTATTAACTATAACTCTTGACTATAACTCTTGCCAATAAAAGGAGGCTCGTCAATGGAAGTAGATGTCCATATCTATGAAGAAATCAAAGAATACATATTAACCAAGCACAACCACAATAATGCACAACTCACATTCAATGATTTTCACATGCCTCTAAGTTTCTATTTACAACCAATAAAATAAAAAAATAAGAAACTCCAAATAATATTCAAAATATTGCCAAATACAGAAGGTGTAAGGGTTAATAACAGCTTACATGGGTTTTAGCATCACAATTATCATAACAATGTAGAGATCAGCTAATTTGATCTTATATTTGTGGTTTAACTTCAAAATATAAATCACGTGAATAATTTACATCCAGTTAAATACAAACAATAGACATTTTGTTGATCAGGCTAATCCAACAATTAGCCTCTAATATAAAATTTGAAGGAATGGTCTGGTAGCCAAGTGGCGGGCTCATGCGCTTGAGTTGGGCTGCGGGAAAGTGAAATTGCCACATTAAGTGGAAATTCCTCTTTTGAAAAAGAAAAAGTCTAAAATGAAGATTTATTGGTTAATTATTGGTTGAATGTGAGATTTCTCTTCGGTTTAATTGGTGACTTCTATTCGACAGGCTGCCCATGCAAATCACTGTGACTGATATGGCCGAACAGTGCTATGTTTCTTAAATATTGTGGAAACCCAATTCATTAAATAAAACATGTTTATGATTGTCTTTTACAATTTGCTCAAAAATATGAGTTTGAACAGTTGGAACTTCAGGTTAATTTTAACGTTTCTTTTGACTTCATAAGGCTAATCGATATACTTTAATTAAGATAATGACAAATTGTAACAAAAGTGATATGCTAATCAATAGCAGCATCCTCTGCTACTGCCACCTGCCTTTTTGTTGATATAAGTATATGATGACACTCGAGCAATGTTGTCTACATAACACTAACATTAGAAAATCATCATGAACATAAAATGCTTTAAAATGACAAATATGCCCTGATGAGGGGGCAAAAGAAAAATACATGCATGGTTGATAGTCAAAAAGAAAAATGCCAAACCTTAGCTCAATCTCAACATGTAGAAAGAAAGCCACAACCAAACCAACGATATGTACATGTTCAAAAAAAGAGTTATAAACTCAAGACCATTCAGCTTGGTGAAAAACGAAAGCAATCTACTCATCATCATCATCAGCCTTATCCTAGCTATTTAAGGCCAGCATTATGAATCCTCATCTTAAATTTGTTGATTTTGGGTGATGTCTCAAGTGTTGAACCTATTCTAGTGAATAATTTTGAATAACTTCTATTAATCTAAACATAGGTCCGCCTCTTGCCTTTTGAATCCTCTCCCGCTAATTTTAACTAAATTGGTTAAAAGAAGAATTTTACGCTTATTTATGCATGTCCAAGTCAGCTAACTCTACTTTTAATCATCTTATGTTCAATAGATGTCACTTAATTTTTTCTTCTAATATAATTATTTGTTAATTTATCGTTCAATGACCTGACTCCATCTTCTCTTCAAAAGATTTTATAATAATTTCAAGAAGATATAAATTTTTAAATTACCCTCATTTTAACATCATCCCTTAATTTTAACTTCAATTTCCATTACTTTTAATAGTGAAATATTTCAATATCTATTTTGAGGGTCCAGGGATCAAAATGAACATTTTATATGGTATGAGACTAAAATGACCCCCCAAAAATAATCAGGGAATCATTTTAATCATTTTCACATTGTTAATTTCTTCCACGCATCATTCTTAACATCCTCATTTCTTTCCGACAAAACTTAGATAATATTGAATAGTTTTGGCAGCATTCTACCTAAAACTATTCAAAAGTAAAGTAAAAGATAGCACTGAAAGAGAATTAATTTTCATGTCAACATGAACAAAAGCTTAAAAGCTGTTCATTTCCTAAACTCCATTGCCACAATCAAAAAAGTTTACAACCATTTAACAACTATGACAGGTTAGAAATTTATTATAGCGAACAGGTTAAGAATTAAATTCAAGTTCTATAAGATAAAGATGAATGATGACATTGATTTTGATATTTTTCCATATTTTAACCACTAATAGATCTACACTATCAAGTAAAATTGAATGTGGAAATCAAAACAATTTAAAGGAAAAAGTATGTAAATGCAAAGCACTCACATCATCCAACATAACATCTGAGTCGGAGTTTTCACCCTCAGTGATTGCTTGAGTTTGATGTCCTTGACCATTGGTAGAATCCAATATGGTACCAATTCTTTCAAGAGGGGCCTTTACATTACTTCCTTTTGAACCGCCATTAAATGATTTTTGAAGATCCGTGACACTTCTGGTTTCCCGGCACGACTCATCGATCTTCGAGATACTGGAAGAAAATCCACTTTTGATTTGAGTTGGTGTAGAAACTTCATGGTCTGTAAAGGTATTGGATTTCGGTTCAGAAGAACCAGCAGTCAATGATGCAATTGAAGCTTTAACACTATCTCCTTCAACACATCTGATGTTCTCTTCTGGAGAAACACCACATTCAGATAAAGGTAACTGTGATTTCGCAGTAGAAAAAGTATTTACAGAAACAGAATTACAAATATCATCCAGTGACGATGCATTCCCAGTTACATTTAACTTCCTTCCGATTTTACCACAACCGCCTTCATTTGGAATGGCCTTGTTATTCACGTTGAAAGAACTATTTATTATAATATTACTACATTCCAAGTCTTTTTTCTCCACATGTACATTACAATCGGAGCCTGAAACATTTGCATCTCTACCTTCGGATGTATATAGGATGTTATCTCCATGGCATTCTAATTCACTCTGCTCTTCATCTTGCCCAGGGGAAAATATCTGCTTCCTCTTAAGGGATCGCACCTGTTCCACAAATTCACAAGAAGATACATCCTGAGGCATGTCAACATCATCAGATGCATCATATACAGTAGAGGCCCTAAAAACTGCTTTGCTGTCAGCATTCTCAAAGTATGAGTCATGGCTTGAGGTTGCACTTATTAAGTTACTTGTTTCGCTAGCTACATGCTGCAAATCATTGCAAATCGTGCTTTTGCAAATTTTCATATCGCCCAAATTAAAAACAGAAGAACTATCAGCTTCTTCTCCCCTAGCGCAAATGATACTAGAAAAGCCGCTCTCATTCTTTGAACCTATGGCTGACATAGATCGATTATGGTGCCTGCACGATGAGCAGGGAGCTGAGCACACATTGCATGTTCCAGATTCAATCCTCATTCTTATAAAGCCTTTTGGTGACCTAAATTTCTTCTCATCCAAACAGACACCGACTTACATTTGAGAATTATAACATAGAAAAATGTGGATTACAATTAATCCGTAAAGCATTGGAGTATCATTAGAAAACTCGCCCCAACTTATTAAGCAAGTATCACAGCTTCACATAACAGTTATTTCACAGCTGATCCATAGCACCTGAAAGCATCAGCATGTGCATTAAATTTCATTAAATATTAATCAGTGCTGCATAATCTTCAACCACACTTATGCTCCTATTAGAAAGTAAAGCACTAGAAAAGGCCAAAAATCTAGGACAATTTAACATTTTAAAGAAGTATAAATCAAACATCAACAAAAGCTGCAACAAGGGATTAAAAATACTTGAAACTTAAATCAAGCTAACACAATGAAATAGACATGGCGATTACTTTAGCAACAAACACAAGATATAACATTGTGCAATATTACAATTCCACCAGTGAAAACAAGCATGTATGAATCACATCAAATGAACTCACATGCTGAAAGATAAATACAAGTTATGGAAGAATTTTGAAATTTTTGTAACTAATAGCTGTAGATGAAATTAGGGTTGTTATTATTTGAATCATGAGTTGATCCAACCCTAGCTCAAGATTGGCTCAAAATCATTTGGTCGAATTTATCAATGTGTTAAGTCGGCTATCTCAATTCAAGTTAGATATGGCTTGTTATATATGATTTTTACTCCATCTAAATTCAAAACTAAGAAGATTTTGATCATTTTTTATCTCCTAAGACAAAACCTTTGTAGAACATATATACAAGCACTCATACATATATAGATTCATTATATATAAATAAAAAGATATATGTATTCATTAATTCAAATTTAAATACATACATGAATTTATATGAATATGACATCACTTATGCATTTTGAACCAATCTCAAGTTAGATTGATCTGAAACAGGCTTCACACAATTCAAATACCATGCCAATAGGCTTTTGACTCATCAGTTCACTCATTGACTTCAATCAAAGGCAAAAGAAAATTTTATTTTTTGGTGATCATAATCCTTTTAGCCAATTTCACAAAATTAGATGAAATTCATGTCTGAATCATCTCAAGAAACAGCAACTCAATAACAACCAAAGAACAAAAAATTATACTGAGAATAACTTTTAATTTTGAAAGTCCTAGACTTATCCATTTAAAATTCAAAACAAGCATCCTACAGGCCATTTAAGCTCTCTTAGTAAGGCATGAAAAGCTCTCCACTATGTTAATTTAAACTGGACTGCTTAAACAAAATAACAATCAAATTTTGGATGCGCTGATTTCTCCATAAATAAAATCAAATACACAACCTGAATCATCGCTTTTGAATTAGCTAAACACATAAATGAAAATCTGTTAAACAGTAAGAACAACCAAGCATAAAAAAAAAGGCTGCAGAAAAAAAAATATACCAGCAAGAAGTTGTCTTTCTGGTTCCATGAATGACGCATTTAGAATCAGTATGCAGACTTTGAAGTCTGAATTATCCACAAATCCCTTCGATTCCCCTTCAGAATAGGAATAATCTGAAGATTCAATCAAGAACTAACTTCAGAAAATATAAGTCCGCAAACTAAATAAAATAAAATTCAATAGTCACACCAAGCAAAAATACAAAAGAAAGAAGTTAAGCGGCGCTCCAGAAACACGGGGACCAAATAAAGCCGCGCAATAGGCTTAAATGCATACTAACAAGTTGACAAAACATGCACGCAAAAATTAGCATCCAAACTCATAAAAACCTTAAAAGAAAGCACATCACTGGCCTGCCTAGGGAACTGAAATTACAACTTTATAAAAAAAAAATAAATAAAAAAAAAAAAATCTTTCTCGCACCTCAGTAAATCCTAGCTTAAACACTGAAATTAATCTTAAGAAGTTGTTGACACGCGGCCCCAAAATTACAAAGAAAAAAAAACTTTGACCCCTTGCTAAAATCCAACAGACCCTTCGAATCCCAAAATAACAGAGAATCGATTCAAGAAAAGGGGAGGACTGAATAGAGCGGAACCAAATGATGGTCTAAGCTTAAACAATCAAACACCCATAAGCACCAAACCCTAATCTAACCAAAACAAGGACTACAACTTTACATGCCTCCAGTCTCCAAATCCTCAGTGAGATCACACAGCGCCTTCAGTGTCCGCTCCACGAGCTCCCTCATCACTCAACCCCCGGCGCGGTTGCCTTCCATCAAACAAATGCCATGAAATCAACTGGACACAAACCAGACTTCTCCGGGTCAAAAGGCGCAAAGCCAAATTCGATCGTGAGAAAACAAAATCAGAAAAGAGGAAGCCGTGAGCCGCCAAGCACGTCGAAGGGGATCTGGCTGTAGAGTCTGTTCACCGGGAAGAATGGCCGCCGAGAGAGAATTCAGAAGAAGAGAGCGAGCACGAACCCTTTCTCTGGTTTCCAATTTCGTGATTTTCCGCATAAAACTGCAAAATGACCAATCACGAGAAGAAAACAAGGACGAACAAAAGACTTATTAGCATCCACCCCTTTGTAGAAATAACTATATCCATATTTATTCGCATATAATTTGGTGGAAATTTCTCGGTTCAGAATTTATGGTCCCAACTTTAATTAGGAATAATTATAAAACAAGCATTTAAATGATTTTTTAATTATAAAATCGATTAAATTATTGTGAATTAATTAAAAATATTAAATATTAGTTGTGTTTTTTTTCATATTAATATTGGAATTTATTAACATGACCGCATAATTAATATGGTACTTCGTACATTTTTAAGGGGCATTTATATGTATGCCATATAATTCTTATTTATTTGCATCTCTGATGCCTAATACCTAAATTTTCATACTTACATGCATATCTCTCTTTTTTTTTATATCACATAAAAAATATTAATATTAGTAAAATTTTAAAGAGTAAAATACACAATTTCGCATAAATTTATGGAACCAATGTTTTATAAAAATAAATATTAGGTACGTTAAAAACATAAGAATTTTATATTAAATAGTATATAAAAATGCATTAAAATTATCATAGGTATGATGAGTTCAATAAGCTTAATATAATGTATTAATAATAAAAAAATCAATATCACTCACTCTAAAAATAGGCCGCTGCAGTTTATTAAAAAGTTGTTATGAAACTCTTAAAAAAATTATCTGCAGTTCAAAAAATTACGGTGGCCATTATAAATTTATTTTTTTAAAACTCAGACCACAACTAGAAAGCTGTCACCGTACCAAGTCATGTATGGTGTGAAATCGTTAATTTCAACGGTCTGAAAACATAATTTTTTTGAAAAAAACTGTCAAAAGAAAGTCATGACAGCCCTAAACAGATCATAAAACTTCTTCTAATATAATTAAATTATTAGATTTTGATCCACAATATTTACATTTATTCCCGCATCCAAATATCTCTTCCTTTGTACTTGCACAAAGTTGAAATTAATTTATAAATTACAATAGGAAAAAAAAACTTTTTGTTTTTTTTTTTTTTTTTTGAAAATTTGCGTGAATGCGTTGTCAAGCAAAAATCTAGGCTACTTGCATGGAAATTATTGAATTGTTTAAAATAAATAAACTTTTTAAAAATTTAATAAAATATATATATATTACAATGATCCCAAAATGAATTGAAATGATCAAATCGTCAGATCTATTCTTATCAAAGAAAATTATCAAGTATTCCAAAATGGCTGCTATCTATTACCAGAAAGCTTTTAAAACAGAAATATATGTCATCTTGATGACTGTAGTTTTGCTTCTCATGATAGTTTTGATTTTCTCATATTTTAAGTTTTGGCTTAATTTTAGTTATTTCATGTTAAATAATTAATATTTTTTAAAATAATTTATTAACTTTATTTTATTCTTCAGAGTAATGGAATATCAGGGATAGGATTCACCATTTTGCTAGTTCTTTTTACGAGGCACAAGCAGCGGTAATTTATCCTGGAAGCAGAAAAATAATTGAAATTTCGTGAAACTCTCTCAAAAATTGATGTACAAAGAATAGACAATTCAGTTATATATGAAGATATGAAGAGGGATGTTTTTCTATCAGCAACAGAAGCCCAAACTAATGACATCATTGATTTTGTAGCGGTCGGAAATGAAAAGATTGGGAGTTCCATAGAAATCTACAAATTTCTTATA